TCATTGCAAGGTTTAAATTGTTAAAGAAAAGTCTAAAAAGTGTTAGTTGCCTATTCACCCCCCCTCTAGTCAACCATATCGATCCTTTCAAACATTGATAAAACATAAAAAAAACTAAATAAACACGCCTCCCAACCACCCAGCACGCTGCCCTAGGCGTCATCATCGTCGTCGTCGTCGCCGGTGAGGTCGACGAAGGCTAGCGGCAGCCCAGCCCATGGGTATGCGGTCTCCCACGCCACCCGCGACAACTCCTACAACATCTGTCACACCGGCGGTGGGGTCCTCCTCCTGCCCCCGACGCTCTTCCTCCACCTCTCGTGCCCAGCAGGCACAGTGCTCCTCCTTCTCACGCTTGGCTTGCATCCGGCGCTCGCCGACAGCGCGCTCCTCAGATAGGTGGAGCCGTCCTAGTGCTCCAGGTAGGCCTCCTCTTGCTCCGGCATGGCACCCAGCGCGATGGGTGGCGCGCTCATCCACTCGCGGAGGATGTCGGTCCACGCGTACATCTCCGACTCTGGCTCCGAGGGAGGCGTGGGTGTAAGTGTGAGCGCCCATGTGTGCTCAGGCTCGGCCTTGGGGTCGGGCAGCGACGGGGCGTAGGCACGGTCCCCCCCCCCTCCCCGCTGACAGCGCGTGTCCTCCTCACGTTGGCTCTCCTCCAGGACGCGCTGGAGCGCCACCTCCAATGTGGCATGGTGGGATGCCTACTCCTCCTCTGATGCCACCTCTGGGGGCGGCGGCACGAACCCAAGGTTAAGCTGCATGCCGCCGCGAAGGGCCACGTCGTGCTCCGCGGCGAACCAGGCCTCCCGGTTGGGGGAGTCTTGCACGTAGGCAGGGTCGCGCCGATGCTTTGGCGTCAGGAGGGCGCAGCACTTGCGCACCTCCTCCACATTAATGTATAGCCGACCCCGTGGCCGGTGACCACTAGCCGCACGGGGATTCATCGCGTAGGTTGACGAGGGCGGCTGCAGTAGCCGCGACGGAGGTGGAGGCGACATGCGCGACGAGCTGGCGCCGATATCGAGTTTGCCCTTGCTCTTGCTGAAGATAACCATGGCTAGTGTTTGCGCTGTCGGTTGCGAGGGGAGCGAGCGTGGCCAAATGTGGATGGGAAGGAGAAGTGGATAACATCCCGCCCCCCACCCACAGACTTGCATTAAGAAGGACGAGCACGTCGGACGCTTCTAAACGCTGCCATGAGGGCTTAGGTTAGGTGGATGCAATGACTACGGCCGCGTGGAGTAGTTGTGTTGTCGACTCGCGAGCCCGAGGTTGGCATCGAGCGGACACGCGGTGCGTCCGTCTCGTGTAAACGTGGACGCAAATCAGACGCGAATTTGGGCCGCAAATGCGTCCAGACGGGCAGCGAGCGGACGGCTTTTGGGTTTTGTTCATCGCGTAGGGCCGGTATTTTCATCCGTTTGGATGCAAACAAACATGCGCGAACAATTTACGTCAGCACGCTTGGAGTTCCTCTAATCTATGTCAACAACTGCTTGTTGAAAGGGACTAATTGACGTTAAGAGCTCTTTGCTGCTTGCTCATATGTTGATGTCTACTTCAAATTGATGGCTTAGATTCGGTTGGAGCAAATGGGTTTAACCCAAAGTTTTAAAATGGTTTTTGTTGGTTTCGGTTGGAGAGCTTGTTTGTATAAATTTGGATTATGTTGGTAACGTTTTATTAGTTTGCATGGTCTAGGCCTTAAACCTTTTCCCTAGCCGGCTTGCTTGTTTGTTGAACGACGGATCTAAACATTTTTTTTCAAATACTATTGCTGAATTTTTTTTACTTCCCTTTGTCATATCTATTAAGGTTCTAAACTCTCTAGGAATGTTGGCTCCTGTCCTGGTCCATCAGGGCTTTGGGTTGCAGGTGGGCCCACCTATAACAGAGTGGATAACTCATGCATTATTTGCTTGGATTCACTCCTAGACGAATGTGACACTCATATATTTATTGCTATGTTATACATAAGAATACCACAACCACCTACAAAACAATTTAGTTCACTTCGCATATAGATATTGTCTTTATTGAGCAAGAGCGAAGCCAACAAAAAGGGGAAATCATCAGTGCAAATTAAAGTCAGTTTAACTCATGTGAAATACACAACGAAGCCACCAACCATAATATCATGTCAAATAAAAAGGAAGGCTTAACTCATGTCTAACGACGGCGCGGCAAAGTGCGCATCAACCTCTAGTTTGAATGATGTTTGGAGAAGAAAGAAGAAAAGAAAAGCAAGGAAAGACACCATGGCAGTAGCAAGGCCAGGGAAGAATAATTTGCCAAAGTGGTTAGGGTTGCGACACAGAGTCAAACGAGGGTATAGATTGCGTCGCTAGGAATGCTAAACACCAAAGAAGAATGAAGATCACTCTCCTTATAGACTTCCTCATAATTTTCAAGATTTAAGCTTAACAACAACAACAACAACAACAACAAAGCCTTTAGTCCCAAACAAGTTGGAGTAGGCTAGAGGTGAAACCCATAAGATCTCGCAACCAACTCATGGCTCTGGCACATGGATAGCAAGCTTCCACACACCCCTGTTCATAGCTAGCTCTTTGTCGATACTCCAATCCTTTAGGTCTCTCTTAACGGACTCCTCCCATGTCAAATTCGGTCGACCCCGCCCTCTCTTGACATTCTCCGCACGTTTTAGCCGTCCGCTATGCACTGGAGCTTCTGGAGGCCTGCGCTGAATATGCCCAAACCATCTCAAACGATGTTGGACAAGCTTCTCCTCAATTGGTGCTACCCCAACTCTATCTCGTATATCATCATTCCGGACTCGATCCTTCCTCGTGTGGCCACACATCCATCTCAACATACGCATCTCCGCCACACCTAACTGTTGAACATGTCGCCTTTTAGTCGGCCAACACTCCGCGCCATACAACATTGCGGGTCGAACCGCCGTCCTGTAGAACTTGCCTTTTAGCTTTTGTGGCACTCTCTTGTCACAAAGAATGCCAGAAGCTTGGCGCCACTTCATCCATCCGGCTTTGAGTCAATGGTTCACATCTTCATCAATACCCCCATCCTCCTGCAACATTGACCCCAAATACCGAAATGTGTCCTTTCGAGGTACCACCTGGCCATCAAGGCTAACCTCCTCCTCCTCACACCTAGCAGTACTGAAACCGCACATCATGTACTCGGTTTTAGTTCTACTAAGCCTAAACCATTTCGATTCCAAGGTTTGTCTCCATAACTCTAACTTCCTATTTACCCCCGTCCGACTATCGTCAACTAGCACCACATCATCCGCAAAGAGCATACACCATGGGATATCTCTTTGTATACCCCTTGTGACCTCATCCATCACCAATGCAAAAAGAGAAGGGCTCAAAGCTGACCCCTGATGCAGTCCTATCTTAATCGGGAAGTCATCGGTGTCGACATCACTTGTTCGAACACTTGGCACAACATTATTGTACATGTCCTTGATGAGGGTAATGTACTTTGCTGGGACTTTGTGTTTCTCCAAGGCCCACCACATGACATTTCGTGGTATCTTATCATAAGCCTTCTCCAAGTCAATGAACACCATATGCAAGTCCTTCTTTTGCTCCCTATATCTCTCCATAAGTTGTCGTACCAAGAAAATGGCTTTCATGGTCGACCTCCCAGGCATGAAACCAAACTGATTTTTGGTCACGCTTGTCATTCTTTTTAAGCGGTGTTCAATGACTCTCTCCCATAGCTTCATTGTATGGCTCATCAGCTTAATTCCATGGTAATTAGTACAACTCTGAACATCCCCCTTGTTCATCTTTTGGGTTTCATCTCCATAAGAGTGTCTGAGTTTTTACGTTGGCTCGCCAAGCCTATCACAACCCTCCTCCTTTACCCGGGCTTGGGACCGGCTATGTTGAGACAACATAGGCGGAGTTAAGATTTAAGCTTAACAATAACTAAAAAACGAGGGGATTTTTAAAGTGAAACATGGGGACTAAATTAGTAAAACATGAATCATTTCAAACAAAAGTCATGGCAAAATCATACAAATTCCTGCATAACAGAAATCACAAATTATTGATCTAGTTGTTGGTCAAGTTTATATCTTGAAAGGCATGAGAAATTTGTGTAAACCTGTGAACTGATAGTCTGAGTAAGAAAAGGACAAAACGCACTGATCGCAACATACCAGGAAACGCACTGTATGCCACTAACCATTTCATGGCTTATGGGACCAACAAAGTAGCATGATCTGTTCCGAATAGAGCCTTCTCACAAATATACAAAGCTCACACTGTGCCCACGATTGAACCATTACAGGAGAGTTCAGCAATCTTCTCTCAACTACACTCCTAATAATACCAACCGTACATGACCCAAATCACAGTGCCCAGCTGAGCTGAGAACCAAGACAAGAGCAAAAAGACCAAACAACACTTGCTCTACAAACCCTACAATCTATCACCAACACTAACATGATCTGATGGGTGATGATGATGATGTTTGACAGAACAGATGGCCACCTTTTCTTCCTTTCTACATCTCCTCTTTTATGTGGCAGGATGATGAAGAGGCTCACCTCTTCCCACCTCCTCTCCCCTTGTTAACTCCATGTAGGATAAACATTTTTATTCACCGCCGGTATCTCCTCTGTCTTGCCTTCTCTCCAGTCTATTCTACCTATGCATGTTTTTCGTATCTACACCACAAATTATATATGTATCATAAGGCTAACTGACAGTCTCCATGCGCCTAAGCCAGATTAACAACTGCTGTTGTCTCCAACAAATTATGTCCAAATGAGAGCACCTGAACAAAAGCATGTAAGATTCTCACTAGAATAGTGGTGACGACACTTCAATATCCAAATGATGCTACGATTTTCAAATTTTCTTCTTCCAGAACTCTAAGCACTTGTGGCAAATGTTGTTTAGCAGTTTATAGTAACTAGGTTACCAGGCTATGAACACGGCCTTATGTTTCAAAAGAGGGGAGGGATTGTATACCTGATGTTCAGCTATCCATCTTCAATGCCCCTTACTCCTTGTCTCCACAGCCGAACCATCCTTGAGTGCTTCTCGAGCTTCGTTTTCTTTTCCTAATGAAAATAGGGCCGCAGCCTGAAGATAAAATGCAGTTGGCCATGTAGGAAATATCGCCAGAGCCTGCACTGCATCATCCAGAGCTTGTTGTGGCATGTCGTTCATGAGATATGACAAGCAACGCCTTGCATAAATTGTTGGCGAAACCATGGTACCAACATCAATGAACTGCAAGACAATTAAGAAAGATAATAAAAAATGAACTCCAGGAACAGAGATTTGTGATCAAATACAACCAGCTTAAAGCTACATTTTTCCAAAAGAAAGATATATGGCCAAGCAACTTAGTCGTGGTTGTTGCAAAAGATGGAGTAACAATCCGTATTATAAAAATTCAAGCCGTATTATAAAAATCATACATGGTGTCATGGATTAAGTACGACCCAAAGATAACAAATGACAACTTAAGAGAAAACAAATAGGCAAATGAGGGGCAACCTGAGAGTAGCAATCAATGGCCATGCTAAAATCCTTTTGTCGGAATGCAGTGTCGCCCTTCTTCTTTGAATCAATTGTAGCTTGCATTTGATTAGTCCACATTTGAAATGAGAGCTGCAACCGAGAAGAAACAAATTAGGTGAAATGCTCTTGACAGAAATATTAAAAATCCACTAAACCCTAATACATTGTTATTCATTTATTTAACACCCAAATAAATTTTCTTTTCTTTAGTAAAAAAATATAAAGCATGCACATGGAGTTTTACCTTTAAGTACACATCAAGTAGACAGTGAATCAAAGGGGAAAAAATACTTGCCTCATTTGCTGTTCCCTCGTCATCTTTATAGCCAGCTGTTTCTAGATGTTCATGTATTGCAGTAAGATCCTTTCTGGAGCAAGCTTCAGCAAGAGGGGAAAGATGAATTGATTGAAGAGTAAATGCACCACCACGGGGCTTATCCATCAGGTCGTAAGATTGCGACTGCAAAACGTATCAATAGTATCACAACCTTGAGTTCGAAACATTTAAGTAGACAAATCAAGGAACAGGGGCATGCTTTTATTATATAGTGGAGATGCATGACAAGATATATGTTCACCTCAACATCCTTCTGAAGAGAAGCCAGTGCAAGAACCAAAGATCTTACATTAGGCCGCTCTCGTGGTTCATAATGCAGGCACCTTGAAGCTAAACGCATAAGGTCTGTTCCTTCCTCGTTCGAAAATTGGCCCTCTAAACAGGAGTCTATGAGCATACTGAAGTTTCGATCACGAATCAGGTCAAGAGCCTGTACATATGGGCAGTAAATCAGTTTTGTTACAACAAAACATTATTATGATTGTTCTTCTTAAGTTTTACCCAGTTATTAAATATTTCCCACTCCATCCTACTGTCGCTTTTCTAGATTATATACAAGTTGAGGCGTGTATAGATGCAGTAAAGTTCAAAGTTAAATACTGGTTTGTTCATTTATCCCACATAGATCCATCATTAAAGCACCCTTCAACATGCTTTAGAGTTCAAATTATGTCAAAGATGATGGTCATGACAGAAATACGACAAAAATTATCAGAGCAACATAGATATACTGATAAAGAAATCAAGGCAAAAAATTTACATGGCTAGGAGGAATATGCTTCCCACTAAGAACATCCAACAACAATGTGCCAAAGCTGTATATGACACTTTCCGGAGTTATTCTTCCTGCAAGTAAAACTGAAGCGTTAGAGCCAACCATAGCTTTAAAAGCTCAATGAGTAAAATGGATCCTCACATGTGCACTAGGCCAAGGCAATACAAATTTGAAAAACGAAAACTCCATTTATTGCAACTAGAAAAATTCAATTCGTAATGCCGCTGGCCGAGGCGACTGGGAAGACGCGGTGTATGTTACGCATCCTTGTACGCTGACCACGTCGTTGTATTCCTCAACCCAGATCCCCAGGAATGTGACATCACTCTGTGCATCCTGATGTTCTTTGGCGTGGCTACAGGTCTGCACATGAAAAGCTGACGAGATAGCAGTCATCACGCAGCACCTGACCTGTCCGATCCAAGAATTTCGCATCAGGTATCTTGGAGTCCCCCTCTTGATCTGGAGAGCCGGGTGGACTACTACCCTCTTCTGGATAAGATCGACAGCAAGTTTGCCGGTTGATGGACTGGCATGCTGACCGAAAAAGGGGGCTTAGCCGTGGTGCAGTTCGTGATGTCTGCTGCTTCCATCCAGACTATGTTTGCTGTCGAGATGCCAAATTGGCTTAGGGAAGCCATCGACAAGCAGTGAAACTTCGTCTAGTGTGCTCACCGGGATTCCAATGGCGGCAATTGCACGGTCGCTTGGCGCGAGGTTTGCTGTCCGGTCGAGCTTGGCAGCCTCAGTATCAAAGACACCAGGAAGATGGGATGGGCTCTGCGCACTCATAGGCCATGTCTGCAAAGGTCCAACACTTCCAAACCTTTGGGCAAAATTCCTACTCAAGGTCAGCCACCACATTTGTGGTTTAGCGCACGCTGCTTCCAAGGTGGTCGTCAGCGAAAGCAATCGAGCACTATTCTGGACAGACCACTGGATCAATCTATCAAGGAGCTGCCCCCTATGGTCTTGGCAGTGGTTAGGACTTGTGAGGTCAAGGGGCGAAGGGTACATGCAGTTTGCGCCGGGCAGTGCTGGGTGGCAGACATCTCAGGGGCGCTCAACATGCAAGGAATTCTTCAATTCCTCCACTTGGCTTAGTCGTCGAAACCATGGTTCTGCCCCCCTTAGAATACCAGTTCATCTGGGGCTTCTCGACGTCTGGGCAGTACACAGTGAAGTCCGTACACACCGAGTTGTCCGCCAATTTGGTCGAATCACCTCTCTGGCATTCAATCTGGTGAGGTTGGGCACCTGAGCACCTCTCAAGTGCAAACATTGTGCCAGGCTTGCCACTAAGAAGGGGTGCTGGACTTCAGATCGCTTGGAGCGTCGCGGCCTGCAGCACTGGGATGCTTGCCCTTTTGTGACCAGGAAGATGAAGCCATCTCTCATCTCTCTCGGGCTGTGCGTTCGCCAGGCAAGTCTGGTTTGAGGAGCTTCGTGTCTTCGATATTCAGGCCATTGCACCTCAACCTGATGAGAACTTCAACACCTGGTTAGAGAATGCGGCAACCCGGGCTGGACCCAACAAGATGAAAGGAGCGCGTTCGCTGATCATCCTAAATTCCTAACAATGTGGTAGCTCTAGAACGTGCGCAAGGACTGCGTGTTTCAAGGTGCTTCGCCAGATTGCCCCGAGACTGCCTCTGCATGCTCGGCCTTCGGACGTAGCTTAGGCTCCTCTCCCTGTACAGTTTCTGTTTTTGTTTTAGCTTTTCTTTTAGCCTAGGTAGTTTTTTCTTAGCTTTCTCTTCGCTTCTTTCTGTTTTCTCCGGTTGAACGGTTTGCTTCATTCCAAGGCTCTTCTTCTTAACACAAAAAGGCACGCGGTCTTGTGTATGTTTGATAAAAGAATGTTCAAAGAGCAAACGGGTATTGTATTTATTGAAAACATGCATCAATCCCGAGACCAAAAGAAAGGCTATTACAATATTAAAATTTATCTCCTCCCTTCTATGTAACTGCAGAAGGCTATAGTTTGCTATGCAGGTACTCCCTCCGTCCCACAATATAAGACGTTTTTGCAAGCTAACATAGCTTGCAAAAACGTCTTATATTGTGGGACGGATGGAGTACATCACAATATCACATACCGGTGTAAGCTAATTTCATACATTCATCAGATATATGAGCCACCTTCAGTGAATAGACTAATTGAGTTGGAAAAACACCAGGTTTCTGATAATCCTGACAGCATTTTTAATGGTGCTGTAATAAAAATGCCAGACGTAACTAGTGGCTAGTGATGTCTCCATAGCAACAAAACCTAACACAAGGCTCTTCCTCTAAACAATCGCACTAAAGGTACCTGTTTTTAAGTTATTTTTAGCACATTCCGGGAATTAAGGACTCACCAGTCCTCATATATTCAGGAGGAGTGAATGCCAAATTGGTGCTGTAACTTTTGCCATCCCGACTGTTCTTCATTAGGCCGAAACATGAAAGCCTAGGGTTGCAGTCCTGCAGGGTGTCAACTGTTAACAATCTAAAAAGTTGCAAGCATACTGACATTGGCAGGGTGATGTCTACATTTAAATAGCAGTACACATGATACTCACATCATCAAACAGAACTCTATAGGCATTAAGATCATGATAGAGAGCCCGCTCCTTGCTTATGCAGTAGTCCAAAGCCTCGGCAAGATACAGAACAACCCGTAATCTCATGGGCCATACCATTGCCTGTGACTCCCCTGTGAAATGGCAAATGTGATGTGATATAAGAATCACATTTTGATCAACATAAAAGGAATAACTGAGCAAGGCATAAGTAGCACTGTATAACAGTTGTTATACTGTAAATGTGATAGGATTTACAGTGGAAAAATGCTTCTTTTTATGGGTGTATTGTTAGCATGAGAAAGATTTCAGAAATACATGAAATAACAATCAACAGTCTCTTTTATTTGCTGTAATCAAGCTTCCAATTTATTATGCACATGTTCAGTTAAGTACATTTTCAGCAAAGGACTATGTGGAAACTGCTAAATACTCCCTCTGTAAACAAATATAAGAGCGTTTAGATCACTACTTTAGTGATCTAAACGCTCTTATATTTCTTTACGGAGGGAGTACTCTTCATGCAAACTATCCATAGAAAATCATAATTGCAGACTCCTACAGAAACATTCTCAACCACGGCTTTGGTGGAACTAAAAGGCGAAATAGATGAAATTAATTAACAAGCTTTGTTCATGAAGACATATAGTGGTTACAACATCAAGAGATGAACTCACAATGGAACAGATGCTTCGCCAGTGTGTCATTGGGCATGTACTCAGCAACAAGCAATCTTTCATCGGCTTCACAGCAACAACCAAGCAAATTTACGATTCTTTTGTTCCGGAGCTGGCCAACAGACTTAGCTTCTTCCTGAAAGCATAGAACCATTTCCCAAGGGTCAGTCCCTGGGGTTCTGAATGTTGCACTGGACCAATTGCAAAATTTGAAGAAAGATTCTAGTCCAGACAAAAGGAGACAGTTTGCATTATTCTGAACTCCCTTTTGGGTTGAAGCTAGCAGATGCAGAGTAAGAGAAATTCGGTAGCTAAATGTAGCAGCTGGTGCATGTAAACTATTTTGGGAGCAAAAAATACAGGTGATAAATACTTCTATTTCATCTACAAGCTGTATTTATATTTCCAAGAAAAGCAACACATGCCGTTCGAAAACCACCAAAATGCGTGTGGATGACTCTATTTCCAGGATGGACGAGAAAACCAACGAGACAATTAAAAGTGGAGTCTTGTGGATACTCGAGGGATTCCCACCATGAACTGGCGCGGGTCGGGCCAGGCAGAGCGGCTGAAGCGCTTGACGGCGATACGGCGCTGGGCGTCGAGCTTGCCCTTGTAGACGACGTTAGGCGCCTTGTCGCCGCTCTCGGAGATGATGTTCTCGGCGGCGAAGCCCGAGGTGGCGAGGCGCAGCTGCTGGAAGGTGAACTCCTGGAATGGCGGGAGGTCGTACCAGTCCCCCGCCGGCCCCTCCTCCCCATCTGAAATTTCCTCAACTCAATCAGCACACGGGCAGGAAGGAAGCTCAAGATCAAAATCGAAACCGATCGGGGACGCACCGGCGGCGTCGGGCTTGAGCTTGAGGTCGTCCACCCCATTGCGATCGGACTCGCGGCAGCAGCAGCAGCACAGCAGCCTCCACGGCGGCGCCCCCATTTCCAAGAAACCGAAAGCGGAGGCGGGGAGATGGTCTTGGCGGATCTGGGTAAGCGAACGGTGCGAGGGGAGACGGAGTGGGGGGCAGGTAAGGTAAGGTGGGTTGACGACGAAGCGGCGGGCGCGGGTAGTGGGGCTGGGGCGGGGGCGGGGTAGGCGGGCACGGACTTGTTCTTCTTCAACCTCCTTTTTTCGGTTGATTCGGGTCGAGATTTTCGCTTTCCCGCACGCCTAACGAGACTTTTGAGTTGGAGCTGGCGAGTATGAACTCTTCCTCATTTTTGTTTTGCTCGCAGGATCCACGCGGAGAGGACCCAGGACGGCGTCGCCATGGAGTAGCGACGGGAGCACCTTCGTGACGGCAGTGCGGGCCGACTTTGACAGCGGTAGTTCTAGAGATTTTTTACTACTCCTAGTCGAGGAATACTAGTACAAGTATTGTACAGAGGAAGTACTATAGAGAGAATAATTTAGTTAGTACGTACAGTATTTATTTTGCGTGGGACGCCGTAAAAAAATCCTTAAATTCAATGTGTTTCCTAATAAGAGCATCTCCAGCCGTTCGGCCCTCCATGGCGCCGAAAAAGAGCGGCATGGGGGCGAACCAGCGCTAGATTGGCCTTTGGGGTTCGTTTCTCCCCAGCCACGCCCCCAGGTGCCGCCCCCCAAGGCGCCCCATATTCAAACTCGATTGTTCCCGCTCCAAAAAAAAGCCACAATTCGGCGATCATCGCAATAGTTCGGCAATTCGGTGCCATAGTTCGGCGATCAAATGAAGGGATACACAGTAGTTCAGTGTACAAAAAAGGAAGGACGCGGCAGGAATGCGTCAAACGTCGAGCTCGACCTCTGGCGCCGTCGTTGGCGTACGCGGGCCGGGAGGAGTCGGCGCGGCTTCCGGGCTGGTCGGCGCGGCGGAGGCATCATCAGTGGGGCTAGACATCGCGGAGGCATCATCAGTCGGGCTGGGCGGCGGCGTTGGCGTCGGCGTCGCCGGTATCTGGTTCAGGATGAGGCCTCGCTCCGCCAAGAACCACGCCTTGAGCTTCTCGTCACCGCTCTGGAGCATGCCCCCGCCGCCCATCAAGAAGGCCAGGTCGTTGTTCCTCTTCTTGGCGCCTTGAGCTTTGAGTTTCGCGGCGACGTTGGTCCAGAGCAAGTTGAGTTTGACGGCGCTGTTCGTCATCAAAGCAGCACACCTCGCCTCAGTTTTCTCTTCTCGCTGGGCGGCCCTGGTCTTGGCGTCGGCGAGGCAGTGCTCGATGGACTCTTGCACGCGTGCGACAGCCAACTCGGCGTGTTTCGCCTTCTTGGCCCCTTTGTTGCCGTCCGGGCGCCCCTCGGCCATGCCCGGTGTCGGCGCGTCCGGCTTGTACGTCTCCTTGGCCTTGGCTAGGGTGCGTCGGACGCCCGTCCACTTCTCGCACTTGTCGATCCGCTTGAAGACGTGGAGGTACTTGAACTCTACGTCGCTGTTGTCATCGCGAAACATGGCGAACATGCCTAGCAGCTGCGCCGAGGAAAAGAACATCAGTCGGCGCTAGCGCGCGCGCCCCGGGCGCGCACATGGCGAAAAGCAATAGTAAGGACGGCGTGGTATACCTGATCCTCGACGCTGGTGCCGCTCTCCAGGCGAGCCGCGACCTCCTCGACGATCCCATGCCATTTGTTGCACGCCGTTTGGATGAGCCCTCAATGGTTCGCCATCGCCTTCGACCGACGCCTCATGTGGACGCCTTTGAAGTAGGGGTCGACGAGTTCGCGCTCGTCGAACTCGGCCTTGATGCGGGCCCAATACGTCTCGATACTCTGGTTCATGCCGGTGACCGGGTCGAGGCAGACGACCTTCCACGTTTTGGCGAGGCACTCCTCTTCCTTGGACGCCCACTTGATGCATGGCTCGCCGGTCTTGGTCGCCATCTTCTTCTTCTTCTTGCCTTTCCTCGTCGGTGCCGGCTCCTCCTCCTCTTCTTCCTCCTCCTCCAGCTCTTCCTCACCGTAGTCGAGCTCGTCGTTCATGTCGCCAAGGTCAATCGAGCCGTCTTGGGTAGTGAACCCGGGGGAAGCGGCGGCGGCAGCCGAGCCTGCTACGATGATGTCTTCCACGCCGGCCTCCGTTGCGTCGGCGTCGCCAAGATGCGACGAGAAGGAGGCTTGCAAGAAGAGGTGGCGTCGGTGAGGCTGCATAGTCCGGCGGCGAGTACGTCTATGGCGGGTACTGCACGCCGGCGAACGCGGGCGAGGGCGTACGCTGGACTGGGCGCCCATGGGGGAAGGTGATGTTGGGATTGAAGCCACCGTGGGCGTAGCCATCGGCATAGCCCGGCGACGGCGTGCTCCCTGGGTGCGGCGACGACGAGAACCCGGCCGGAGAGCCGACGCTTTGCTGGCTCCAGCCCGCGTACGGGTCGTGCCCCCCGGGTGGATTCACCATCGCCGCGCGCGCCGCCTCGGCTTGTTCGGTCGCGGCGCGCTCCGCCGCGGCCGCCTTGTGCACCGCTCTCTCCCTGGCCTTCTTGGCCCTATTGCGCCTATCCGCGGTGACGGCCTCCTGACGCTCGACATCCGCCTTCCAGTCGGCGTTGCTCATGCCCGGGGGCTTGGACAGTGGCGCCCTCGGCTTCCTTTGATTTGGCTGGGCGACGGCAGCAGCTGTGGGATCCGTGGCGGCGCGGGGCATCACGTACTTCTTCGGCGGCATGGCGGGAGGAGGCGTGGTTTGGCGGGAGAAATGGATAAGAGAGGGAAGCCGGGGGAAGCGGGAGGAAACGGCGGGAAAAGGGCTTCCTCTCGCCGACAGAGCGGCCCCACGCCGCTTTTCGCTTCTGCCGGCGCCCCCAGGCGACACCCGGTCGCTTGGGTTCGGGCGGGATCGCCGGCTCTGGATTTGGCCCAAACCGGCGCTAAACGAGGACCTAGGGGCGCGACTGTGACGATTTTCGGCCACCGGCGCTAAAAATTCGCCTGGGGGAGGCCTGTTGGGGGCGCGGCTGGAGATGCTCTAACATCTAGGACAACAATGTCCTAATTTCACCCATATACTCTCATGGACGTTGATACGTCTATTTTGCATCATGTTTTTATGTTAATATTTATTGTATTATGGACTGTTATTTCACTTTATAATACAATTCTTATGTATTTTCTCTCTTATTTTACAAGATTTACATGAAGAGAGAGAATGCCGGCAGCTGTAATTCTAGACCGGAAAGGAGCAAATCTAAGATACCTATTATGTACAACTCCAAATGTCCCGAAACTTTACAGAGAATTGGTTTGGAATGTATATATGTTGTGGTGGGCGTACGACAGATGCCAATTGATGGCTAAAGAGAGGGACATGCTCGAGGACACCAGTGGGCTCCAGAGACAAGGTCGGCATGAGCAAGCGGAGGACACAAGACATACCCAGGTTCGGGACTCTCCGAAGAGATAACACCCCTAGGCCCTGTTTGTTTGGGCTGCGGCTGAACGAGAAGCGGCTGGAGCTGGTAGAAGTTGAGAAGCAGGCTAGAGCTGGTAGAAGCTGAGAAGACCAAAAAACTTGTTTGGTAACTTTTTTAGGACGACTGGTGAGGCTGTAGCTGGTGATGAAAGTCTATAATGCCCCTAGATTCTTATATGTAATCTAAACACCGGTTTGACATGATTTATTTGATTATGTTGTATATTAGCTCAAATAACATGTTTAGTGTTTAATTTTAGCACAAAATAGTTTTATTTTTATTACAAATCAATTATTTGATTTACTAATTACAATATTTATGTGATTTAGGTATTTTTAAGATTTCTTCCAGGGGCACATATATGATTTACTAATTACGCTCGTGCCAGCCGCCGATTGGCCGAAGATGGCAGTGGATCTGGCCGGCGGCGTGCCCGCTGGCGGTGGCGGCGCTCGGTCCAGGTGGAAGGGAGTGAGCTCCGGTAGTGGGAGGAGTAAGGAGAAAGCAAGGGCAACTCCGGCTGGTTGGGGGTAATTCGCCAGCTGCCTGGTTGGCCGAAGATGGCGGCGGATCTGGTCGACAACGTCCTTGCATGTGGTGGTGGCGCTCAGTCGAGGGTGCGGGGAGCGAGCTCCGGTAGGCGCCAACTGTCATGGTGGGCACACGGCAGATGCCAAAGGATGGATAAAGAGAGGGATAGGCTCGAGAGGCAAGGTCGGCATGAGCGAGCGGGGGACGCAAGACATACCCATGTTCGGGGTTCTCTGGAGAGATAACACCCCTAGTCCTGCCGAGAGTGGTTTATATGTGGATGTTACAAGCTTTCTCCTAGAGCTTTGGGGGAGGGAGGAAGGCAGGCCAAGGCTTAGGCTGCTCCTTCTCCTTGCGTATGTGTGTATTCTACTGATGGTCTGATCGCCTCGTGCATGGAGGCCTCTTGGAAGGTTTTATAGGTCAATCCCCAGGGTTACAATGGTAAAGTTACATGGTCGCGGGGCCAGGATGTCAGCGTCGGGGAAGCCGGTGCGAGGACCCGCTTGGTACCAAGATTCGTCGGGTTCCCCGGACGCGGGCCCCGTGCGCCAAGGGGGCACTGTTCCCCATCTTGTAGTGCGTCACGGAGTGGTTGAGCCGGCTCGACAACAGTGGCGCGTCGCTCGGTCGCCATTAGCCTACGTCGGCAGGATGAGGGGCGCACTGTTGCCATGCCAGCCCTGGTCAGCGGGGCAGGTGGGGCACTGTTGCCACGCTCGCCCTGGTCAGCAAAGTTGTTGGGCCACTGTAGCCATGCTCATCTCCTTTACGGGGACTTGATCCGTCGTACACCTTGGATGGGACGGGAGCTGACTCGAGGCCGGGTTGAGGAGCGTCCCATGAGGGCGCTTGCTTGTTGAGGAAGTCTTGGCTTGGCGGGGTCGGCCGGCATGCGCCAACGATCTTGGCCGAATTGCGGGGCTTGGCCGGGTCGAGGAACCCGGCCAAGCGCAAGCCGGATCGAGGGGAGAAGCTGGCCCCGATGTTTTTGAAAAGGATCCGGGTTCCGTTGCCCGCCCG